CTACGCCTACGTAAACCCCCAACAGCATGCAAGATAATGGCGCAACACTTACAAAACGGCTAGTATTCTACATACATTTGGGGTCCGGGGGAACCCTAAACTCCAAAAACTCTGAACAAACTACCATCCAACAGGTTAAAGTTTCCAAAGTTGCGTGGCATCTATTCAAGCTACGAGCCCTGAAACACCCTATAAATATCCAAACCACCCATAAAGACGAGCCTATGAATCTTAAGACGCTCCTGCACTGAACACACCCAGACCTTCCAAAATCCGTTAATTAAGGAATATACCTTAATTCATATTAGGGATCCTATTACATTTGCAGGTATATTCCTTAATTAAGAGATTTTGGAAGGTCTGGGCACTCTGACTCTTAAATCAAGGCAACCTCGTAAAGACTAAACCCCTAAACTCTCAACCCCTAAACCCTGAACCTCTCAAGCCTAATGTGGGGGCCTGGAATATCATACCATAATTGTGATAAGGAGCCCCCGAAACCCTGTTCAACATGTTAAGCCCCCCCTTATAAGAACACTTTGAAGGAACCTCTATTAAACAATGAAGTCTATTAAGAGAGTCGCCCGCCAGGGGGCCACAGGATCTCCGCTGGAAGCTGTGAGCCAAACCGTCGAGGGCAACACCACCACCTGGCCGAGGTCGACCGAAGGGTTTGGGGTTTTGGGGGTTAGGTTGCTAGAATTAGGTCTTGGGCTTTAGGGTTTTAGGGTTTAGGGATATGAGTTTAAGGGTTTAGGTGTTTAAGGTTTACGGTTTGAGGTTCAGGGTGCAGCCATTGATAGGCTGTCTTTTCCAAGACCCTCTTCCGTCTGTCCCAATCCATAGGGTTTAGGGTTTTTAGATTGTGGCCTATGGATGGGGTTCCCCTAGAAAGTTCCGTGAACAGGGTCTATAAGGGTTACAGATATACCACCGAATGTATGGGACTTGGTAACAACAACGGTGCACGTATACTGTAATCAAGACTCCTAAGACATGTGGTTGGCAAGTATGCCAATCCTCGCAATGTCGCGTTGGTGCCCTGGTAGGCCGCCATTCGACATGTGCCGTATGGCACTTGGGCCTAGCCCTTATAGGCCTGTACCAGGACCCTCCTTGTACCCTCATATAGGGGTATATGAGGTCCTTCAATAATGGGCATTTAAGGTGTAATAGAGGGTACCCAGACCTTCCAAAATCCCTTAATTAAGGAATATACCGTACAAAACAATAGGATCCTAATATGAACTAAGGTAGATTCCTTAACTAAGGGATTTTGCAAGGTCTGGGTAGATGGAGGGTCTAGGTAATTACAAGAGAAACGGGCTTTACGCACCCAGAACACGTAGGCTGACCAATATCCCTATCGAGCCCGGTGTCTGCTTGCATCAAGCCCGTACCCAGAGGCTCCATAGCAGTTCCTTTTTGGGATTGCCTTATAGGATTCTAAACTTATATGAAGCCCAAGAAGGAACTACCATGGAGCCCATGGGTAAAGGCCTGAATTGTGACAACAGGGTTTTGAGCCTCTTGGGCCATGTATAGCATTATTTCCTACATGACCTATGGTGATTCCCTGAAACCTATCTCGCAACCTAAACCCCAAACCGCTTATAGAAACACTTGCATAGCCCTTTTATTAAAGAAACCCCGTTGAAAGAGACCAGGCTTCCCGGTGACCTAAACCCTAAACCACTTATGGAGACACTTGCATAGCCCTTAAAGAAACCCCGTTGAAAGAACCCAGGCTTCTAGATGAAACCCCGAGGCTCCACCTGCGCCGCGCACAGGGCCAAGGACGGGGGCAGCTCCGAAGGCGCAGGTCGTGCCTTCAGATATATATATATATATATATATAATATCTATATATATATAATATATATATATATATCTGTATATATATATATATATATATATTAAGTTCTTCTCTTAGGTTTAGGTGTTTTTAAAGTGCACTGCTCGACTTGTGCGCGTCATGTTCAAGGGTTTGGGGTTTAGGGTTGTAGAAGCTTTGTATGCATCTTATCTGAGTGGTGGTAAGAGGCTTGTTCTGGTAATGAGACTTTGCAGGGGCTTTCTTTGAAGGGTTGTACAATGTTTTGTGTCTTTAAACATGTTTTGTTGTACAAGGGCCTTGTTGAAAGGGTTGTAAAAAATCGTCTTTCTTATTACGTACGTCATTCGAACGGCTATACAAGGTTGCATAGGTTCGTTTAAGGGGTCCCTGCAGTTGTCACATTATCCGTTTTTTGTGTTTTTGAAAGGGGCATGATGCTGTTTGGTATATCTCGAACCAGGGTCGATAAGGATCTACCTCTAATGGTTTGTGCTTTAGGGGTGTTTGTCTCAGGCACCGCCGGGTTTCCACGCTTCTCCCCTTCAACAGCCCTCACTGGCATCACAACTGGCGAAAGAGAGCACCCTCCTCAAGTGGATTCGGATCTTTCGTGGCTCCAGGTGATGTATCTGGGTATCTGTTGCATAGTTGGGTTTGCTTGCTGTCGCGAGGCCCGAAGCTTAAGGCTTACGCATACACGAAGCAAACGCCACAACATAACAAAAACGGAGACCATGGCCAGTACTTTTTGTATGTCAAATACTCCTATCACTATGAATGGCTAGATCCTACTGCTATTGCTGCTGCAATTGCTAAAGCTATCACTATTGATGCTGCCACCGCTGCTGCTTCTGCTATTGCTTCTACCATCATTGCTAGTAATTACCATGACTGCTACTATTTCCACCAATATGCTAACACTTTCAGTTGCTACTGCGATTACTGATGCTATCCGTGCTGCTATCTCCAGATTTAAGACGGTGCGTACTATTCTTCTAGCTTCTACTTTTCATTTTGAGTTTTTATTACAACAGTATGTGTTTACAATATTGTACCTTGTCTTGGGGCTCACTTGGGCTCTCTCAAACAACAGCCAGAATTCTCGATAAACAAACATAGAGTACCAGCACCACTCATAGCATGACAGTTAACATGTGGAACACGTCAAGCCACTCGCGCATATAACGAAGCAACAGAACCCTTAACCCCTAAACTCTTGACAACATACAGCAGCACAAAACCCTGAGCCCCAACCTACCCACAAAAGCACAACAGCCGGTGGGCTTCGGGGTTCCTATACCACCCTCAGAAAACCCGTAGATGAAAAAACAACAAAAGAAACCCTGACCAAAAGCCTGAGCTTAGTCCCTAAACCCTAAACCCAAATTAAAAGCCTAAACCCTAAAGCGTAAACCCTAAATCCCACACCCTGAAAATATCCCCTAAACCCCAAACCCTAAAGCCCAAACCAAAAGCCCTAGCTTCGTCTGTGGGCCTCCGGGGTGGCGGAGGCGGATTTCGCCGGGCTCGCTGGCGAAGCCTCTCGGGGCTCCTTTTTGGGGGTTTAGTAGGGGGGTTTTCGGTTTAGGGGTGTAGGTTTTAGGGGGTTTAGGGTTGGGGGTCTAGGGTTTTTAGGTGCTTGGGGTTTAGGGGTTTAGGGTTGAGAGGTTTGAGGTTGCATGGTTTGCATTGAAGTGTACCGAGTCTTTAACTCCACGTTGAGCTTTAAGAGTTTAGGGTTTGAGGGGGGTGGGAGATTGTGTTGTGTTTAGCACGTGATATTCTCGCGCTGTGGAGCGGGTAGAGGGTTGGGGTGTGTTTCTTCTTGTTCCGCGGGGATGATGGGTGGAGTTGGTGTTGGGGGTTTCGGGAGTTGAGGGTTTAGGTTTAGCATGGTTTAGAACCCAGGGCTTTAGTCAGGGACTTAGGCTTTGGGAGTGTGAAAGCGGTAGTTTCAAGGGATTTAGGGACAAGGTTGTTTAGTGTATAGTGTTCAGCCAGCATTTGGGCTGGTGGTTTAGGAAAGAGCATGAGGCTTCAAATGGAGTAAGAAGTGTTCCTCAGTCCTAACCCTGAACCCTAAGCAGGGTCCACAGACAGCAACGCAGCTAGGGAAGTCAATAAACATATCATGCCGGAGATTCCGAACGTACGGGGCAGCCCACACCTCAACCCTCCAGCCCAAGACCCGAACCTCTCAGTCCAAAATCCCTGAACAGAAACATCAAACCCCAAATCCCAAAAACATATCCCTTTCAGGAATTCTTTGGGTTATATTCCTTATTTGAGGGATATTGGGGTCCCCTAAACCCTAAAGAGCCCTGAACACCAGCAATTGCACTCCGAGACGCAAGTCGCTGTGCCAGCTGCAGCGCGAAACGCAGCCAAATCGGATTGAGGTCCAGGTGGAAACTGCGGAAATCAATATTCTTAGGTGCTTAGGGTTTAGGTTTTTTTTTTTTTTAGGGTTTAGGGTTTAGGGTTTCTTAGGTGCTTAGGGTTTAGGGTTTATTCAGCCCCACACCTAAACTCAGGCACATGATTAGTTAACTCCTTCTCATACATTTGCGGATCCTCCCTAAACCCTACAAGTCCTCACTTAAGGGAGGTGGTGGAGTCTCCGACTTCGGCGATCTCGGACTGTGATGCTCTATCCGGGCGGCGTTATCGGAGATCTGAGATATACCATGGAAAATATATGAATGGGATAAGTCAGGCTTACCATGGGTTTCATGCTTTTTTTGGCTGTGGAGCCTTAGGTTCAGGGTAAGGAGTGCGTCCCAAACCCTAAATACACTGGACTCTTCGCCAACCCGGAAGCCCTCGATCCAACAATTCTGCAAAGCCCGTAGCCGCAAGATCCTAGCCTTTACTGCATAGAACTCAAGAGCATGCGCAAAAGCCTTTAAGTTAGTTCTAGAACACTCCAACCGAAACCCTACGCCATAAGCCCCAAAGACCCACGTTTTCGGGATTTTACTAGGGAATCATAATCAGGAACCCCGGATGCCAAGACCCTGCACCCTAAAAGTTTTCCGTGGCGTTACAGGCAAGCCATGAAGACGAAATCCCGAGGACCGGTGGAAGGTTTGGGGTTGAGAGTAGCCCACACGATACGAAAGGGCCCTCAATAATCAAGATTGGGTTTTGGGCTCCATTGTAGTATGTGTGTATGTATGTGGGAGTTAGGATTAAGGGGACCCTTGGGGATATAGACCCTCTCAATAAGGCCCCTTTTAAGAGAGCCAGAAGTAGGGTTCAGAAGGGGTACCCTTTAAGGGGTCTCCCTAATAATACTACCTAGTATGCATGTATGTATGGCCCTTCACATATGCGGGCAGGTGGTGCCTTGCTTGGGATCCGTCAAGTCTCTACTTGGAGGCCCTTTTGACTTAGTAAGTAGGGTTAGTAAGGTGGGTTATGGGGATTATAATAGGGTTTCTAGGGGATACTAAGAAGACTTACTAAGTCAACAGGGCCTCCAAGTATGCCTTTATGTGGTTAGTTAGTGTTCGCTTTCGTACTGCAGGAACCAAGCTATTCGACATACTTGTAAACGCCAGCTGTCAAAGTAATCAAACCCTAAGAGACATACAGATCCAAGGGCCAGGCGAGCTGACGAAAGCAACGCACACGTTGGCAAAGGGGTCGTTAGTCCGCAACGCCTTTTTGCCAGCTGTGGTCATTATGTACAGTTTCGGGTTTGCGGTATGCAGCAAGTCTATACAGGATGCTGAATCCAGGATTGCTGGGCCACGTGGAAACTTGCAAAATCTTAAGCAGAGGCATCAACAATTTTGGAGGGAACCCATAAACGAACAACTACCCCAACAATCGAAATAACCCGACAGAGTTACTGCCTGCAGAATTCCTGCAGATTTCAGACTCGAACCCTAAACTCAGCATGGGTATTATATGCTTCCAGCATGCAGGATAGGGAAGCCAAAAAAGAAAGCAGTATTCTGGCGTCAGGCCTTCATTGATTTGGGCACTGAGGCTCGTTGCTTCAGGCGCTGCAGTCCAGCTGGCTGTAGGTCTGTAAAACAACAAGGGCACGGGGTTATGTTCGGGTAAGTTAAACAGGGACCATAAAGGCATAGTATTAGTAAGCGTTCACAAGATAGGGTTTCGGCACCAGTAGGCAGCGGCGAAAATCACAGGTTGATATGTCGAGCAGTCATACATTCAATGGTAAAGCACGGTAGACGAGCGTGAATACTATGCCGCATATAGCACACCTTTAAACAAATCAGTTTAAGCATATAGTATTCTCAGAGGATCCTAGGACCCTTTGAGGACGTCTTAACCTGGCCTATCCTCGGGCCGCGAAATTCGTAAACCGTATGAGGCAACAAAACTTCGATTTGCTTACAGCTAGAGAGTGGCTGTGCCAGTCGAAACGGAGGCTGTGCCATAGCACTATCCTGTCCTGACAGCTAGATGCTACCGTTACAGCTGCGGGGGATAATTGTGGTTGGAGTGGGCCCAATGTACCTCATTATCCCGACGTTTGGCGTCGGCATGTCCAAAGAGGCTCAGCGGATTGGTCAGCCGTTGCACCACTATGTTGTGGCGCTGCTCAATCGGTACGATGATTTCCTCCGTGGCTAGAAGCTGCCGTGGTTCCGAGAAAGCTTGCACCATGACTGGCGTGTTGAGCTGCATGGCCAATCGTGCTGTGCGCCATCCGTTGACGTAAGACTTGTACTGGACCAGAGGAAGAGCAGCACAGTACCAGGCTCGGCTAACGGACGCCATGGTTATTGTCAGCAGGAGATCAGGATGCAAAACCCCCACTCTGACGTGCACACCCTGCCTGTACAGATCCCCAAAAGAAACCTGGCAAAATTGCGACAACCCTAAACAGTCCCTTCTACACCTATTTAAATAAAGCCAGCAGCTTCGACCTTAACTAAACCCGAATCTCTCAAACCCTGAACCCTCTAAACCTAGACCCTAAGCTCCACAAACTCAAATCCTAAATCCTAGATTGGGTTACCTTAAAAGCTCCCAAGTATCAATCAGGCTAAACCCAAGGAAAGAACTCCATCGGTGGCCCCCGCATTCAAACAAGCCGGACTCTCTGTCCACAGAATGCTCAGAAACCCCAAACCGCGTGAGAGCCCAACGCCCAAACCCCAAACCTCCATAACCCCCTAAACCCTAAACCGACAGCACCAACAGGTTAAAAATTACCTACTCACCTAGACCCCCCAACTAGCCTCTAATATACCCTAAGTACCCACTATTAAGGACCATAAGGGCTTCATTTAAAGGGCCGTTGGGGGGTCCTGGCAGCTACAAAGACAAACTCTTGGTACCTCATTTTGGGGTCCTTATAATAAGGATCCTATTATTTAGTGTCCTATATTCGGGGGTTCCCTATTTTCGGAAACCCCCATAGACTCTCCGAAACATGAGCCTGCATAGCTACCATTATCCTAAGGCCAAACAAAGTATATACTATTTGGGTACATGGACCCTTAGGGCTACTCAGCTACTAAAGGGAACTCCAGAAAGTTGGAATATGGATTAATGGTAGGATCCCCTTTAATTTACCTTAAAGGGGTTACGATAATGATATTCCAACTTTCTGGCTTCTACTGTATACCTTAATTCATATTAGGGATCCTATTACGTTTTAAGGTATATTCCTTAATTAAGAGATTTTGGAAGGTCTGGGCAGCTACTAAGACAAACTCTTCGTACCTGGGCGAGGGCCGCTGCACCAGGCAGCCTTTGGAGGCGCTAGGGACGGCTTAGGGGCTCCAGGTGTTTGAGGGTTTGGCTTTAGGATTTAGGGTTTAGGGGTTTATAGGGTTTAGGGTTTAGGGTTTGAGGGTTTCTAAGCAGTGGTTTTGGGGTTCCCTTGGCTCTTTAGCTCCTTATTTAATAGGGATTATCATCATCCCTGGCTCCTTAGCTCCTCCGATATCAATGGTTAGGTTTGGCTTTAGGAATTAGGCATTTAAGTTTTTGGGGTTTAGGGTTTTGGTATTTAGGGCTTTAGGGTTTTGAGATTTAGGGTTTTAAGGTTTAGGGCTTCGGGGTTTTAGGGGTCAGGGCGTCAAAGGGTGTCAGGGCATGGGTTCAGGGCTTCAGGGCTTCGGGGTTTAGGAGCTTTCGGCTTTAGGGCATTTAGGGCGTTTGGCTTTACAGGCCAGGGCCATATACTTGGGGGCCGTAGGTCTTGCAGAGCCTTTGGGCTTTGGGGCTCGAAGGCTTAAGGCTTCATAGGGACCCTCGAAACTACAAGTACAAGCTCGAAGGATGTTGCGCTTAGAATTCCTTGAATAAAGGAGCTGCTGGCCTTTGTGAAAGCAACTTCATGACATTCCGCAACGGCCTGCATAGGCTTTAGGGTTTAGGGTGCAGGGATGCGGTCTTGAATTTCCTTGAACCTTCGCTCCTATGGATCCGAAACCGACAAACACAAACGGTGCATTGTTTGGTGCTCCGCAATGGCTTTCATAGAGTTTAGGGTTGAGAGTGGAATGTGGGTTGAAAGTTCATTGAACCTTTGCTCCTATGAATCCAAAACACACACACACACACACACACACACACACGGTACATTGTTAGGTGCGGGACCGCGCTGCCGCACGTCTTGCCGAGGGTGAGGGAGCCGCGGAAGGGGCCAGCTGACCTTCGTGCAAAACACGACACTAAGAGTGATATGTTTCTTTGTTATGCAGGTTGTATGTTTCTTGTACTTCTCGATAGGGTCATATGTACAGAAACCCTAGAGGCTTTCATATCACTTGAGACGTAAGAGTCTTCAGTCCAACCTATGCAGAATCCCCGGAACGCGAAATATTGATTCAGTTCTCCCCCTCTTCCCTTGATCCGCACATGGTCTGCGTTGCGTGGGTCCGGCAGGCAGTCCCAGGTGCAAGAGCTCATCGAGCCTGATGTAATATAGGAGCCTAAATAATTAGAATAGGGTTTGGGGACCCATTATACGATCATTATAATCACAAAACAATTTTGGTAATTATTAAGGCTTTGAAGCCCCTATAGTAGCGATCCCCGCCGGACGGACCTGGGCTCACTGGACAAAGGTGAGCTCCCAGGCGCTGTGGCCCGTGCTTTTGTTCCATAAGTAAGGGCTTAGGGTTTAAGCAAGGAACATTTTCCGAATCGGAGCTCATTCTCGGGATCCACAGGTCGCAGCCGCTTGCACAGCATCTGCAGGCGGCAGTTCGAGAAGCTGCATGACATGACCGAGAGCCTGAAGCTACTCGCTTCAGGCCAGTCGCGTCTGCTTCATGCGGGCGAGCTGCAATTCAAAACGGGTCTACAAGCGATTACTGTAACGGTTTAATGTAGGGGCCTTAATGATTGAAATGGGGTTTTGAGTATGTTATTCACTAGTTATAGTAAGGAATCCCCAAAATAGTATAAGTATATAGGTAATTATTCAAGCCATTTCAGGCCCATATATTCGAGTGCAGCAACACCTTGGCTTAGACTTTTCGAGGGCCGGCACCAGGGACAGGGTAGGGGTGGGGAGCTGAGGTTTCGGCACCTCGAAGGAACCCTGCAACAGGGCGCCTGCCTAAATAGGAAGATGATGAGGGAAGTTTCGAAACTGTGCTTCAGAACGTAACGTTTAGGGCTTAGGTTTGGGATAGGTTGTCTTGTCTTTCCAGAAAATCCCAGGCACACTTTATCGGCCGAGCAACACTATCACATAAAAAACATCACGATTTCATAGTTCACACCTTGGAAAATGACCCACAACCGAGCCAACAGTGACGAACTCGTGTGCGCTTCTCAACATGTGGCGAGTGTTCGCCATACTGTATCCTGCCATGGTTCTTCTCACCGCGTCCTCATGCGACTCATTAAGCTATACTGTACCCAACCCTAAACCAAACAATCACATGCACCCGAAAGCCTTATTCACTCCCTAAACCCCGAACCCGAACCTCTTAAGAGGAGAACGCTTGTGTGTATACACATTAAATGTGTGTAGATATACACACATATACATATGTAATTATATAACCATATGTGTGTATGTATATATATATATATATATAGGCTTGTTCATTTATGCATATATACATCTATGTAGATTGCATGCGAACTGGGGCCCTGTGCATGCGAAATTCAGCGCCGTGTCCGGCAGCTCCCTGGACAGGCTTCAGGTCTTTAGGGTTCAAGGTTCGGCCCTTTCGGGTCGAGGGTGTTCTGGGGTTCAGGACTACACCTTTTATAGTAGACCCTGATTACCTCTTAATAAGAAACATTAGAGCCCTTGAAAGGGTCGGGGGGGTCCTGGTAGTGCTCCAGTCTTAAGAGATTAGGGCCTGGAGGGCGGATGGGGGGCTAGGGGGGGTGAGGGGGAAGGCAAAGGGCCAGTTGGCCTTAAGTAGGGTTTAGGGTTTAGGGTTTAGGGCAGCTTCTCAACCCACAGTTTGTCGAAGCAGTTTCACTGCATCTTCCTGGCCGACGGTGCAGCATGCTGCGGCAGAGCGATGTGGCAAAGCGCAGTAGAAGCAAGTTCGTGCCACAGCAGAGATGCTGCAGCCTTGCAGCTCAACTGGTGCCTTGCTGAGTCTTGCTACCATTTTGCAAAGTGCTAGGATACCTCTAAACCTGGGACGACAACAACATCAGCGCCTGCTCCATGCCGAGAATGGCGAGAGTCCTCCGGCCTGCGAAGGTTCTTTTGGGAGTTTCCGAAAATTAGGGGGAGCCTTAGGGTTCCTTTAAAGGGTTACTATAAGGGTATTATAAGGGTTCCTCTAAAGGGCTCTGTAAGGGTTTAGGGTTTCCGAAAATTAGGGGGTACCCTTCTTTTGGCGTCCTTATAATAAGGATCCTACTATTTAGGGTACTATATTAGGGTCCCCTATTTTCGGAAACTCCCATAATATGGCCCTTAGCCCTATAAACCTTAAACGCTAAACCCTAGGCCAATTACGACGTGTCTTCTTGGTACTTTGCGAGCGACCGGAAGATACAGGATGTCATTGCAGGCATGGTGTCCACCCAAAACCCTGAACCCAGCCTCTTCCCTGCTTCGCGTAAACCCTATAAACCCTCAACTGCTGGTCTTGAAGCTCCTCATGTCAAGCTCAAACGAACCAAAGCCAGGCTTAGGCATTAATGCAGGCCTGACTATTATATACTATTATATGCTCTTTTTATTACCATTAATTACTATCATTATGAAAGAAACTATTGCTATTGTTATTATTATTTACTAATACTCAAAGTTTAGTGTTTAGGGTTGAGGTACTACCTCAGTTTCTCTCAGAAACTTAACATGACTATCGCGATTATACCTCCTGTCCCTGATTAAAGGAGGGGTGCTTCCGCATCAAAGTCTCCGGCCGGGGTAGACCAGCTTGGGGAACCCTAAACCCAATACCCTAAACTCTGTAGGCCCTGAACCCTAAACCCTAAACCCTAAATCCTAAACCCCTATACTGCCATGTGCCTCAACTCGAAGGGCTTAGGGATCGGTTTTGAGGACTTATTGCTTCAGGCCACTGATGTCGGGGCCTTAACTACTAAGTAGAAAAAGGCTTGGGTGTATATGCTAGTATAACTTTAGTACTCTATTTTTAGTAAGGAACCTTAAGAATAATATGGGAAATGATTTCAGGCCCCTCGTAGTAGGTTCTGCGGTATAGAGCCTGGAGTAAACTCACTTTGAAGGTTCCATAGTTCGATCTATCATGCGGCCCATCCTGGTACAGTACCTTAAATGCATGGAGGATCATGGGACTTAGTGAATGAAGGTTACATATAAACAGGCAACTATACTTACAACTTATGACTTTTCACTACATATAACCCCAGTTAAGGCACTTATAACCTTATAATACCAAAAGTCCCATGATCCTCCAAGAAATAGTCAGGAAGGCGGAGGCTTCTCCACTCCGTGAGTGTCACTTGCCCCGGACTTACCTATAGTCTTGCCATTGTAGGTCCTTTGGTTAACCAACTTTATGGTTAGGATCCTGTAATATGAACTTGATGAACCAAGAAAGGAAGTAGAATGGAGACTATAGGTAGCACCTTTCGCCCATACTCGGCAATCAACGGCAGAAAGCGGGAGGGGCTGGTGCCGTCAAAAAGCCAACCATGGAGCAGCAAGCTCAATGAAACCCGGCAGGTTCAGAACGATGCTCCAACAACATAAGAACGAGGCAGACAGAGAACTCTGATGCGGAGCGCGCTTTGCACAGATCCGGATCGTCAGCAGGGCCAAGCGCCTTGTTGACATTGAGCTAACATTGCATGGCCGCGGCCAGGAGTGCTACTTCCCACTAGCTCACTAGCGGAGTCTCCAGTGTCTTGCGACCATGCGACACTGGCGGCAACACGACATGCCAACTCAGCATTCCTTCTCGGTTGGCCGGGCAGACCGGAAACGAGTTGGGCACGACCTGGAGCCGGTAGAGAACGCCGGGCTACAACAACGGCCACTTGGTGATGGGCAGCTCCGCATTGTTCTTTACCTTGGCGATGGCCTCTTGGACACTCGCTACACCCCTAAACGCCCCAATATAGGGGCCTTAATAGCTAGAATAGGGCTTTGGGCCCATTGTACCATAATTATGTATAATGAAGGAACCCCCAAAATAGCATAGGTAATGTTAAGGCACATATATTAGGTAATGTTTAAGGCACATATATTATATATCACCTAAACCCATCAAACCCTGAAGGAATTCCAGAAGTTCCCGCCTTCACAGCCACTTTGCCGAGAGCCTGCTCCTAAGCGGCACGGCAGAAGCTACGCTTCGAAGGGTTTGAGGTTCCTGTAAGCGTCTTTTAACTTTACAATGGATCTAAACAGGTTCTACTCTAATCTGCCTAGTATAAGGGTTCAGCATAGGGACCTTCATAAGTGAACAAGGCTTCGCGTGGTATATTGTGCTATACAGACAATAAGGAACTACGATTTGAGGGTTTAGGCTGTTTCTTGGAGAAGCACCGAAGCACCCATCAGGATCAGTGTGGTCGGTCCTGTCTCAATTCTACTCACTACGCCCCTTGACCGTAGAAGAAGAGTCTATGTTGAGGGTATGCTGGGAACTCTACTGTTCCGAAAGCGTCTTGGTGTCTGATGTACAACCCCCCAACACCCTTAACAGGCAGCTACTTCAGCATAGTTCGGGCCCCTGTGTTGAACGGCTGCTGGACCATGTGGATGCTCTGCCTCACATATAAAGCTTAAACCCCGGGCCCTAAACCCTTGAACCCTAAGTAAATGGCGGGTAGGTCAAAATCTCTCGTAGCAGCTCGTGATCAAGGGGCTCAGCAGCTGCAGTCATTGTGTCTGCGCAGACGTTCTTCTCTTCAGGACTTGGGCCCCAATGACTCTGTTGAACTTGGGTGGCCATGAGGACCACAAGTCCGGCCACTGCCACACGGAGAGGTGCGGCGGGACGGTGCTGCCCAGCGCAGCAGGACTTGGTGCAAACGAGCGCCGCTCCGGACAGGGGAGCGATTCATCAGAAGCCTATAGCGCAGTTTAAGGGGTATTCAGTTATATATTGAAGGGATAGCACTTTGGAGTAATGTTATGTTGCCGCCGCAAGCCGAAAACTTCCGGATCCTGTAAATTAAATGTACGTTGCTGTTTAAGTGCGGGGGCTTTGCATGCTGGCCAAGGCTTAGCAGGCTTTAGCAGATCAAGTTTATCCCAGATCTGCTCGGGCCGAACAGCTCTGGCCTACACCCTTGCTTATTTGGCTTATTTTTGGGCTCAGAATTTCGGAGTTCGCTGTGAACGGAGCAGACCGCATGAGCTCTGAAGCGGCATGGCAGTTCTTCGCTGGAGCACCGATTCTGCGTGCAGTTCCATGACCCGACCCGTTCCAAACAGCTATAATGCCGTTAACAGCCCCATGCGACCCATAACCATAGTAAAAGGCTTCTCAGGAGCTGCAAAACCGGATGTTTGAAGAATAACACCCGATTTTCCACGGCCATGCTTTACTCCTGAGCGCAAACGCGCCAAATCCCTCAACCCCTGAACTGTGCGGTACTCGGCTGCCGACCACCTCACTGGAACACGGGCCCAAGTCGTGCCCTCAGTCAGAAATAAGGAGAAGGAAGTTACTCGGAACTTCCAAGCTAGTTTAGCGCTCCTATGCTGTAGGATCTACTGGTTCAAGCGGCTGGGGCTTAAGGTCACTACAGCGATTGCTAGAGGCATTGCAAGAGGGGGTCTGTAAGGGTTTGAAGGGAGAGTAGATACGCATTGGATTTAGGGTGAAAGGGTTTAGAGTTTCGTGGTGTTTAGGTCTGCAGTTGAGGTGTGTGGTATAGGTATGGTCCGTGTTTCCGATTAGCATGTTTCCGACACCAACATCCCACAGAGGCATGAACAACACCGGAATATGTTTGGATGACATGTTCTCCGACGGTTATCTGGGTGCGGAGGATCTGCTGCAATGGAAGATCCTCTATCTTTCCATTGCTCTTCCGGATCTCCGCGGCCCCCCTCTGCACGCCAGCATCCAAACTGAAACTCACGTCCTGGCAAGTCCGCATGGACGTGTCCGTGTTTGAGAAACTACTCAATCAAGGCGTCATGCCCATGTGCCCGCCTCCAAACGGCCAATCCGGTCAAAAGAATCCATGAATACTCCAAAGCTCTGCTTGTCGTAGACCGGCGTCAATGCTGTATGGGAGGTTTTGTGTGTCGGCGATGGGGCTGGCACTTCTGGTAAGTGCAGGTGCGCCCTTGATGCCACATCTCAATCCCTTAGTAAACCCCAAACCCAAAACAAACCACCAAAACCTCTCAACTTAAACTCCAGCTCCTGACAAAGCCTAAGAATCCTACACCCTTCTAGGGGCTGACGCAGGTGCTGCCCTTACCTTTCTCATCGGGAGGACCCTAGAGACGACGCCTGACGATCGCGGCCCAAAGCTGGGCTCCAAGTATACAAATTCAAAGACCGACTTCCTCCTTCTTGCTGATTATAGAAACACCTTAGCCTACCAAAACCTATTTTTTTGTGGGGTCCCTAAAATCTCCATAATAGGTTTATAATAAGAACCTACTACAAGAAAGTAGGGTTTGGTAGTTTAAGACAAGACTCCAGCCTGGTCTCGATCTTTCAAAACCTGTTTTTCCCAGTGTCTCGTATGATGCTGAAGTTCTACGATGCTACGATTCCCCCCAAATCAGGCTTGTCGGCGGGCACCGGCCGCAAACAAACCAAAACCCCAAACATCCGCCAAACTCCCTGAAACCTGAACCCGAACATCCCCCAACTCTCCAAAAGACCCTTGCTTGCTCAGTATCCTGGGATAGGAAACAAAAAACTAAGCCCTCCTTCTTGGGGAATGAACTGGGAGCTTAATGCCCCCACTACGGTCAATGGCTACCTACTCGACTGCTAAAATTACCCTAAACCCCAAAACCCTAAACCCAAAACCACTAAAGATCCCTTATAGATCCCTTTAGAGGAAAACTTAGAGATCCCTTTAAAGAAACCCAAAACCCTAAACCCCCTTTTGCCCAAGGCCGCAGCTGGCAAGGATGGCAATCGGAGGACTTCCGTCCCGACCCTCGAGAAGCCAAGGGAGATTTGGTGGGTTGACTGAAAAATGTAATTTAGGAGCCGCAATGAGTGGTAAGAGGTACTTGCTGATGATCCCGCAGCATCTAGCAAACACCACCTCCACACCTCTGCGACCCCCAGTTTTCAGTTCCTGGCGTGCACTATATGATGGGCATCCGAAACCCATCTGTCAGGGCATCGCCGCCCGAAGAAGCTAGCTCCGGAACCGCGACGTATTCTCACACCAATGGGAATGTCGAAACTATCAAAACCTATATAAGTCATAAGCCCTAAACCCTAAGCCCCGAATCTGGACACAACTGCTGGTCTGCTTGGACTGTGCCTGTACAAACTTCCGTGCTTTCCTGACTCTTGAATCCCTCTGAGGGGCAGCATCTGCACGGCAGGGCGACTGTGGAACATCTTCGTTGCAGCTAACAGTTAAGCACGCTGTATTAGACATCGTCACCATCATCGCCACCCCCGGCATCATGATCGTGACCACAGCAGCAGCCTTGCTCAAAGCATGAGTGAACAACGACGGCACGAACTTAGTGAGTAAACAGCACGATGTTGGCAACGTGGCATTGGAACCCCATTGCCTATATCCGATATATCCCAACAGGCAAGCAGCCCTCCCGGCTGGCCTCATAGACCACTCGGAGGTGTTGAAGGGATGTGAGCAGCTGCAACTGGGACAAACTGCTACTTTCGAGAGCCGTTCATGAAACTTTCAGCCTCAAGCTTCTTTCCGGGGTTTAGGATTCAGGGCTTGTGGTTCATGTTGGGGTTTGGGATTCGCTTGAGTTTTCAGGATACACTGTAGTGCTTGAGTTCAGGTGCCCTGAGCACTGCCACATGCTGGGTCTCGCAGAAGACTCCAGGGCTTCGGCTTTAATGCCAGCATCAACTCAAATCTATTAAAAGACTTAGTTGCTGAGTTCATAAGCCCCCAAAAGGTGTACACTTTGAGTTTTGTAGTGGGTAATATTATCCCAAAAGTGTAAAGTGTATCAACACAGCTACTAAACAAATGATGACCAAACCCGCAACCTCCCCAGTCGTACTAGAACCAACGTCAACCTAACAACAACAACAACAACGGCGACGACGACGATGACCGCGACTGCAACAGCGACTACGGCGAACGCAGCCATGACTGCAATTCCTACTGCGCTTACGACTACGACACAGAATTCTACGACTGCTCCGACCAATGCTCCGACCACGACTGCGATAACCACGACATGGCAATGGCGGCAGCGGCAGCAGCAGCAACGGCAGTAGTAACATACATTAGCAATGCCATGCGCGCCAAATTCAAGTACTGAGCTCTGTCAAAACCGGAGAACCACTACATCCCCAACCACACGAAAGCAGGTACACATAATCAAACTCGCGCATCATAGTAGCAGAACAATTCTACGGAGAGGAAAATACCACCACACCAAGAATGTAAAACGATGATGTTATATCAACCACAAAGATGCGAAGCATTGATTGAGTTTTTAGAAACCTTGAATTTCAACCCGTAGGCCTCATGTTGACTGCACCATAAAGGCCCAGACACACTACAGTCACTACAACACAATTACAACCTTACTTCCCTGATCTCGACCCGAACTCAGAGCCCTGAAGCCCTGCTTACGGGCGGAGTACCAGCCCATGGAAAGGTTAACATTTCCAAGTATGGTAGAATGAGAGAAACCCCAAAGGTTTGTTACCTACTCAGATACTAAGAGCCCCTATAAGGACACCCTATAGATCCCTGAAAGGAACCCCTTGTAGCACCCTAAACCCTAAACAGCCCAGACCTTCCAAAATCCCTTAATTAAGGAATTTACCTTAAGTTATAACGGGATCCCTAATATGAATTAAGGTATATTCCTTAATTAATGGATTTTGGAAGGTCTGGGAGGCTACCTACGCTACTAATGCATAAATCCTAAACCCGAATCCGTGAACCCTAATTACCCTAAACCCTAAATCCTTTAATCCCTGAACCCTAAACCCTAAACCCTATAGATCCCTTAAAAGAACCCTTATAGTACCCTTTAATGAGCCTACAGACCGAACCCACCTGGCGGGCGCTCGCTGCGCCGGCCCCAGGGGTCTCCTCTGCCTGGCAGTTGACCAGGCCCAAAGGGTCCTAGCTAGCCAAGGGTCCTTAGGGATCTTAGGGTTTAGGGGTTTAGGGTTTAGGGGTTTAGGGTTTAGGGGTTTAGGGTTTAGGGGTTTAGGGTTTAGGGGTTTAGGGTTTAGGTGTTTAGGGTTTAGGGGTTTAGGGTTTAGGTGTTTAGGGTTTAGGGGTTTAGGGGTTTAGGGGTTTAGGGTTTGGTACTGTTATGGGGGATACTTCCCCAAATCATAATATTAATTCCTAATATAGAAACCCTACATTCTACTATATAGGTACTTTGGACCCTTTGTACTATAAGTGTGGAGTTTCGGGTTTAGGGGCTGAGGGTTCAGGGGTTGTATAGCTTTCGGCAACCAGAATGAGATTTTGCGGGTGCAGCTTTGGCCTAACTCCCCAAATCTTAAGACTCCTAAACCCGTACACCCGAAAACAATCAGCCCTCGAACCTTAACCCTAAGGCTATAAGGGCTCATAGTTTAAGGCGTTTGGGCTTAATGACGGGCTTTTGGGCCATTTCGAGCCTTAGGGTAAGCACCTTCAACTCCTAAAACCCCGAAGATGCCCAAGCTGTAGATCCTACTGCCCCAAGTTCAACGACTTCAAACAACATACCCAGCGACTCGATGTGCCCATGTAGTAGGTAATTGGGCCTTAAAGTGGTCCCTATATGGGTACTTTCAGGCCTAAGTACGTACTATATGGGTACATTGGAGCCTTTAGGATAGGCACCTGAGCCACTTCACCTTAAACCCAGACGCCGTAAGGTTTAGGGCTGAGGCCATGACTCACAAACCTGGTCAGTGACCACAAACTATGAAGCACAATGTTCCTAAGGCCGTTGGTCGTGCTTCTATGACGAGCTATATGAAGCAACCATCACAACCAAACATACAAACCCGGTCACCTCGTACTCATGCAGCTCACTCCTTGGCACGAAATCCGTGAGTTCTTTCTCATATGGCCGTCCTATCTTACCGATCCTCAGGGTAGAGGCGGTCGTATATGCTTTGGAGGTCGGTGCTGACGGTTGCCGGCGTGTCGCACCGGCATTGGTGATATTTGGTGATGCTATTGTGGCTCCAGGGTTGGGGCACTGACAGCAAACTCATCTGCGAGGGCCTTTGGCTTGACAGGGGGGTTTTCGCGAGAATCGTGCCATGTTGTGTTGTCGGCGCAGATCAACCCCGAAAAACCTAAACCGCTAAACCCTAAACTCCTAAACCCGGATCTGAGCCCTCAACTTTAAACCCCAGACCCCAAGCCTGAGCCTCGAACCTTAAGCTTTTAAGCCCCAAAGCCCTGAATCCCAACCGTATGCAATCCTTACTTGGGAGTTTCCAAAAATAGAGGACCCTTCTATAGTACCCTAAATAATAGGATCCTTCTCATAAGGACCCCAAATAACGTACACCCTTTTAGGAAACCCCCACTTTGTTGCTGAGTTCATATGCCCCCAAAAAAGTGCACACTTTTAGTTTTATAGTGGGTAATTAATCGTATCCCAAAAAGTGTAAAGTGTATCCGCCCAGCTACTAAGCTTATAGGAACCCAAACAGACCCCTTCCATACCACCACTCAAAAAACAGCCAAACCTACAACAGCCTTTGGCAGCTCAGCGAAACAAACATGCAAATGTCCGATAAAACACTGTGACTACTACCACTTGAAAAGAACCTCTTTTCGAAACCCTAAACTTCTAAACACTGAAACCCTAAACCCTAAAAACCCTGAACCCCTAAACCCTACACCCCGAAACTAAACCTTTGAAAGGAGGCCTAGAAACGCACTCACCGTAGGGCCTCTGAGTCGCTGCTCTCACACCACGGCGCAGGCCGCCCACTGCAAAAAAGTCGGGATTGTTGTGAAGATCATACTTCTGCATGTGTAAACACATATACATACAGCCCTGTAGCATATGTAGATAATTATATATATCTATATGTATATACATACATATATATATACATATATATATATACATACATATATATATATATATATAAGTGTATATGTATGCATATAGGAACTATATATATATATATATATATATATACATATATATATATATAGATATATATACATACATATACATATACATATACATATACATATACATATACATATACATATACATATACATATACATATACATATACATATACATATACATATCCATATACATATACATATACATATACATATACATATACATATACATATACATATACATATACATATACATATATATATATATATAATTAAGAAGAGCATGAGCCCGAACAGGAAAGTAAATATTAGTGATTCGGGGTTCAAGGGCAGAGCTCGGCTTTTGGAGGCCTTCATTCCAGATCTTCCTGGGTTTCTTTTGTAGAACGCGTGGTTTCGTTTAGGGTTCAGGGGCCTCCTTTTTCTTTTTCTTTTGAACCCTCTTTTCCGTCTGCCCCGAAGGTTAGGTAGAACACCAGGTTGGCGGAGGGAGTGGATTGGGAGGCCAGCACATTTCTAGGGGGATTCACCACCACTACCACTCACTTATACCCATTACTGGCAATTCCCAACTCTGCAGCCTCCCAATTCCGAGACAGTTGGCCGCTTTCACAACCCATGAGCTCCGCTGCCAGCCCGAGCACCATGCCACATCGTGCCTAGTACCTTTTGTTGGTCCCCCGAAAGTGATATTCTACGAACCTAAGCAAGAGGATCCCTACATCTTGATGACCCAGAGGTCCTGATACTAGATGTGCATACACACACATATAAAATCGATGTGTTTATACAGGCACATGTTTTATACTTACTCTTTATGGCTCAACTTCGTTGCAGGTGAAGAAGTCTTGATACTGTCAATGGGCTTTCCATCAACCCTGGAAGTATTGTCTTGACCGCTGATTCTCTTCGGCACCTTCGGCAATCCAGTTCCTTTGTTCGCGTCTGATACCAACGAAGACTGCATCTTGCTTGCGCTGTTGTATCCACAATTAGACAGCGTCAAATGCGTGTTTGCACACTTCGATGTGTCGAGTATTGACTCGGAGTAGGTAGCATGTGCTCCTACGTGATCAGACTCCACGGGGAGGTCGATAAGCGGACCTGAGCAGTAAACCGATCCTGGAGATTTGATCAACCTCAATGCCTCAGTCTCAATTGGGACAACAGAATTGCCACACACCAGATTCAGCGCACGCCTGGGGTTCACGACCGTATTCACGCCCGAGAAGGGCGACTGTGTTCTCTCAGGTGCAGGTTGGATGTAATGATGGTCCATCTGCCTGGCAAGAATATGGTAGTATAGCACAACTTGATGCGTTCGATGACACTAAACTGGCGCTCGTCCAAAGCAATTGACGAATAGATGTAAATCTTGTCGCCCTGCTTCACAGCTGCTGTCAAAGCGATCTCCTTACCTGGAGCCATGGTAGGAAGAACAGCTGGGGATAACCCAAATTGTTCAGCCTTGAATGTAACGAATGTCGCATAATCAGCCTTGCATTGGCTGAGAGTCCTTCTGACTCGTGCTCCGGATGGAGACCAAGTCAAATATTCTCTGAGCATCTCATCAATTTCCTGACGGGTACGTCGTTTGGTATCCACGACCGTTACTACTTCGATCTGCTGAACCGGAGTTGTAATCTTCAATAGTCGGAAATAATCGCAGAAATCCAGAATTGTAGACTCGACTCTTGACATAGGCAACTGCTTCAACGGTGCGATTGAACGCAGCCGAGTTAGAGTAAGGCTCGAGGAGCGGGAAGTCGCCTTTGTTCGGATGAAAATATCACGTGCAGGATCATGAACAATGCCGTAATGGCTGCTCCTTGAAGAGCATCTCGGCAGGTGGCCAGGATTCCCTCGACGATAATCCTCTCATATAAAATCACAGTCCTATCGAGCTGGTTGAGGAATTCTTGATGGATAAGAGGTATCCACTCATCGATCCTAACAGGTCTCGGACAGGCAGCAGGCCGTACAATTGACGACGCGACTATTCTCTTCATGAGCAAAAGGCTTGAGCCAAAATGGCTACGGGGTTCAGGGTTTAGGGCTGAGGGCTTTAGGGTTTTATTGGTTTAGGGCTTAGGGGTTTAGTATTTTTGCCTTCTAGTATGAATTCCTGACCGGCTTTTTCTTACACTCTAAATCATCTTGATTTTACGACCCTCCGTTGCAAATACTAGAGATGCTACATGGGCTAAACAAGTTTATTCCACGTAGAGTGCAGGGTTTAGGGTAGGGAGTTAAGCCCTTTGACTCGTACTACGACGACGACGACGACTACTACTACTACTACTACTACTAGTACTACTACTACTACTACTACTACTACTACTACTACTGCTAGTAGAATCATACGAATAATTGAAAATTGGTGAGCGCTTCTGAGAGAGAAGAGGGTTCAAGCGTTGAGAATGCCCAGGGATTCCAGTCTTCAAACTCGGGATTTTTATTGAAATCCAGCTGCGCCACCCCATCCCTTGATGATGCCCCCCCCCCCCCCCCCCCCCCGCTCCCAAGATCCTAAACCACCGTACCGAAACTTGCCTCTAAGAAGCTAGGATACCCAGTAATTAACCTAAGAATAGAAAGGCCTCTCTTTTTGGTATTGGGTAACTTTATAAGGACTACAAAAAGGGAATAAGGGTACTACTGGGCATCCTAGGAAGTGATGCCAGCCCCAGCCCCCGCAAAGATACCGGCCCCTCCCTCGAAACAAAAAGCCAAAACAACAAACCCCAAACCCTGAACTCAAACCACTAAACCCTACTTGGAGGCCCTGTTGACTTAGTAAGTCTCCCCAGAAACCCTATTATAATCCCCATAACCCACCTTACTAACCCTACTTACTAAGTCAAAAGGGCCTCCAAGTAAACACCAAACCAAAAAAAAACAAAACTTTTAAACTTTAAACCCCTAAACACTAAACCCTAATCTTAAACCAACAACAACTGTCAGAATCTCCCGGCCTCGGCCTGGAAGTCGCGAGC